ATGAGAGGCTCATGCAGTGTGTCGCCTCGAGCAGCCTTCACCACTGTCCTCCGAACAGCCGTCTTCATCACTGTTTCATGGATGTCTTGGCGGCCGCAGGACCTCTCAGCCTCCTGAGGGAGAGTTCACAGACAGTCTGGGGCAAAACCCACCCCTGCCCAGGTCTGACCCCAGAATCGTGTGACTTCGGATAAGTTATTCATGTTTCAGCGCTCGGTCAGGGCTGGGACTGCAAATGACAAGAGAGCCACTCAGCCCAGGTGCAGAAGTAAAGGGGGCACCAAAAAACCTCAGCCATCGAGAATAGGTATGTTTTAGTACAACATTTCAAAATAAAAACATGGAAAACCACGATGGACAAAGTATGAGTTTTAGGTACACGGGGGATCCGCCTCAATGTCCACATCTCTAAAAGTGAGGAATATCCATCCCAGCTTCGCAGGATTGTGGTATGGAATAAAGTAAAAATGGCCGGAAACGTCTGGGGAAGGCCTGGCGCCTTAAGCGATGGCAGTCGTTTTCCCGTTGTCTTTCTTGTTTTTCGGCAGCGCGGCAGGTGCGTGAAAAGCACGGGCTTCCGCATGAGGCCCCGAGGTTCAAACCCCAGCTCTGCCTTTCACCAGCTGAGTGACTTCCAGCATGGCGTGTGACATCGCTCCGTGTGTGCGGCTACCGGCAGACTCAGGGGTGGTGTCGTCTCTTTCCTAATCTCGCTTTTAACTGTTCGTTTTATTATCAACGATGCGGTTTTTACTGTTTCTAAAACGTCCTCTCAATCTTTGCTTTTGACCAGGCTGTTTACTTTTAGTGAGTTTCACCTCCTGAAAACACTGCTTTTGTGGGTCTACTTGCAACTGAACCACAGAGTTCAGACGATGCCGGCATATGAGACCGTGATGGCATTTTTTAACAGGTAACGTAACTTAGTGTTGATCGATGAAATGTACGTACACTGTTATTGTTGTTGTTATTATAGCTTGTAATATCGGGGGAATATGTCAGTGATATTATTTTTCATAGCATCATTCAGAGTGCATAGAATGCAGTTTTCTTTGTGGGGCCTAAGACTGTGCGATACCGTTGACCAACTAGATGCTTGAAAAAGTGAATGATATGTAGGTGTTAGAAATATGAGATAATCATGTTCTGTGCCCAGTTAAAGACATGATACAAAAGATGCTTCTTTTATTCAGGAAAATTACCATACTGCATTGAGCTTAAAACTTCATATGTAAAATGTACCTGAATTAGACCAGGTCATCCTCATTGATAATTCACTAGATAACATATAAAATTCTGAATTTTCTGGACAAATGAAAAAGCATTTAAATATACAAAGGGTTCATAGACTGTATCTCGTTTCTTATACTCTAAACTTATAAATTCTAAAAGTTGTATATCTCAACATTTAAGTAAAAAATAACAATGGCGATATAATAATGGGCTCCGTTTAATTATGCTAACTAAATGCGGTAATTCCGACCAGCACTGTCTATTTGCAATCTCATCGAATCTGCATAATACCCAGGGGCTGGTGTCATTATTCCCATTCTCCCTGTGGGGGAGCTGAGGCAGAGATGGAATGCCTTACCAGAGGTCATGCAAGTGATAAAGGGTGAAGTCTGACTTGAACCCCGACCCTCTGAATCCCAAGATGCTCTACTGCCCATTCCTAGAACGACAGATAGGATTCCTCTCCTTGCCATTCCAGCTGGTTTAGTGGCAGCTTCCTGGGCACGGTGGTCAGAAAGAGCCCGAGCCTGCTTCTAGGTTCGGTGGTGTTGTTAGCTAATTACTTCCAATACAGCCTTGTGGTACATTTCTTCCCCTCCCTGTGTGCCCCTCTGCCTGTGAGCACTTTCTGTCTATCGAAAGTGCCCCCATGAGTTGTCTCGGCTGGGGCAGCACGTGGCCAGGAGCGGGGTGGGGGTGAGTGTGAAAGCAATAGTTTATGGGCTCCACTTTGTGCCTCCTGAGCCTCTATTAAAACCGTGTGAAATATGCTCACGTCCCCCACGCTGGCTGTGGAGTGTGGTGGCTCCGTAGCCAAAGGCAGTCCCAGATGGCCCTCAGAAGCTCTGCCGTAGACAGGAAGTGACTGGTGGCAATGCCTTCCACGTCGGGTCGATGCTTCT